TAAAAAAAAAATCAATAAAATATATATTTTTTTAAAAAGAATATATATATATGTAGTTTCTTCCTTAACAGCTCCCAGCAAAGGAAGGCACAGATGTATATTCCCAGGTAAATGAGAATTTACAAATTACTATTTCATAGCAAGGAGTCAACCCTTAATAGAGATAATACTCTTAATCAAGGTGTAAAGGTTATTTAAATCAACAAATAACTAAACTTAAGAACAAAATTGGAATCAAAGGACACTAAAGAAAATAAAAAGACAACACACTGAATGGGAGAAAATATTTGCAAATCATATAGGTGATAAGGGACTAGTATCCAGATTATATAAAGAACTCTTATAACTCAACCAAAAAGACTATAAATACAGTTTTACATATTTTTTCACTTCATACCATGTCAAGACCATTTCCCCATATAATTTTTAAAAATCTTGATAGCATCTTTAATGGTAACAATGAACTTCATCATTGATGTTTCTATCTCTCTCTCCCTCTTCTTCCCTCTCTGGAAGGGAGAGGGATAGAGAGTTAGAAACATCGATGAGAGAGAAATATCGATCAGCTGCCTCCTGCACACCCTCTACTGGGGATGTGCCTGCAACCAAGGTACATGCCCTTGACTGGAATCGAACCTGGGACCCTTCAGTCCACAGGCCGACGCTCTATCCACTGAGCCAAACCGGTTAGGGCTGAACTTTTATTCTTAAAACTTACATGAAAAAGACTTAAAGGGAATATTGTGAATAACTTATGCCAACAAATTAGGTAATCTACATGAAATGGACAAATTCATAGGAAGACACAAACTTCTGAAACTGACTCAAGAAGAAAATCTGAATAGACCTATAACATGCAAAGTGATTGAATTATTACCTTTAAAACTTCCCACAAAGATCAGGCCCAGGGACTATACTCATGAGTGCTACCAAATGTTTTAAAGAATTAGTACCAATTCTTCATAAACTCTTCCAAAACACAAAAGAGAAGGGAACACTTCCTAACTAATTCAGTGAGGCCAGTATTAGCCAGATACCCAAACCAGACAAAGATTAAAAACAAAACAAACAAACAAACAAAAAACACAAAAAACTGCAGACCAATATCTCTTGTGAATACTGACGTAACAGTCCTGACTAGTAAACTGATGCAGCAACATACAAAAAGGATTATATACCATGACCAAGTGAAGTTTACTGAAGGAATGAAAGATCAATTTAACATCCAAAAGTCAATTAATGTAATATATTAATAGAATAAAAGACAAAAACTACATAATTGCTTCTATTGACACAGAAAAAGCATTTGAGAAAATCTAACACCCTTTTATGATTAAAACAACAACAACAACACAACTCTCAACAAATTAGAAATAGAAAGGAACTTCCTCAATCTGATAAAGGGCACCTACAAAAAAACCACAACTAGCATCATACTTAATAGTGAAAAGTTGAATGCTTTCTCCTAAGATCAGGAAAATCACAAGGTTGTCCACTTTCATTGCTTTCACTTTTCAACATTGCATTTGAGATTTTACATAGGGAAATTAGGCAAGAAAAAATATAAAAAGTAACCAAATTGAAAAAGAAGTTAAACTATTTTATTTGTAGATGGAATGATCCTACATATAGAAAATTCTAAGGAATCCACATACCAAAAGAACAAACACACAGAAACACCTATTAGACTAACACCAAGGAATAAATTTAACAAAAGAAATGCAAGACCTGCACAATGAAAAATACATAACACTGTTGAAAGAAATTAAAGATCTAAGTAATGAAAAGACATCCCATGTTCATAAGATTTAATATTGTTAAGATGGCAATGCTCTCCAAATTGATCTATAGGTTCAATATAATCTCTATCAAAATCCCAGCTGCCTTTTTAGAGCAACTGACAAACTGACTCTGAAATTCATATGAAAATGCAAGGCACCCAGAATAGCCAAAACAATATATTTTTTAAAAATGTGTTGCTTTTTTATTTTTAAAATTGAATTCAGAGAGGAAGAGAAAGATAGAAACATTGATGAGAGAGAACATCAATCTGCTGCCTCCTGCATGCCCCATATTGGGGATCAAGCCGGCAACCCAGGGCAGTGCCCTGACCAGGAAACAAACCAGTGAACTCCTTGTGCATAGGATGGATGCTCAACCAACTGAGCCACAACGGTTAGCCAAAACAATCTTGAAAAAGAAGAACAAAGTTGGAGGACTCACACTCCTTGATTTCAAAACAAAGAGTTATAGTAATCAAAATAGTGTGATAGGATATAAGGATAGACATATATCAATGCAATAAAATTGAGAATCCTAAACATACCCTCTGACATTTATGCACAATTGAGTTGTGATAAAGACAAAAAGCAATGTAGAAAGAATAGTCTTTTCAACAAATGGTGGTAAACAACTGGATCGACACGTACAAGAAAATAAAGCTGGACCCCTTCCTCACACCATATACCAAAATTAATTAAAAAGTGGCCCTGGCTGGTATGGTTCAGTTGGTTAGGCATCATTCAGTGTACCAAGAGATTGCTGATTCCTGGTCAGGGCACATGCCTGTGTAGTGGGCATGATCCCCAGCAGGGGGTGTGTTCAGAAGGCAACCAACAGATGTTCTGCTATCACATCAATGTTTCTCTTTCCCCCTTCCTCTCTCTCTAAAAAATCAATATATCTATCTATCTATCTATCTATCTATCTCAGGTCCTTTATATATTTTAAGTGATCATATGCTGGAGGTACAGGTGCAGAGAGTGAGGCAGGAAACTACTTCTAGTGGCAGGGTCTGTGGAAAGGGAAGTAGGCTGGCTGTGAAGGTGTGAAGAAGTCCCTAAAGCAGCCCAAGAAGCAGATGAAGAAAATGGGTGAAGTGGTAAGGCATTCAAGCAGAAACAGAAAGAGGGGCAAAAGAAACTCAAGGAGCTAAAAGTTAAGGCTGTGGGAAAGAAATGCCACACACGGGGAGATTCCACATTTGTAATTAAGAATTCTGGCAAAAAATAAGCTGTTCCTTGTACCTGGGGCAATGGTGATCCTTAATTCCATTTCTGTTTAAACATCTGGATTCTCTGCCATAACATGTGTTATCACTTATAGCTAGAATGAAATGTTGTCTTGAAGCCTGTTGTACATTTAATAATAAACTTTTGTAAAAAAAAATCATACTGTGGTTCCTCTTCTCTTTCATTCTCAGCCATTTCTATCTCAGCTGGGAAGCAAACCCAGCCTAAAATCCTGCCAAAGTATACTCTGCAGTCTTTGTTCTACACCAAATTCTATATCACCTGGAATGAAACCAATTCATCTGGGGGAAAAGGAAAGTGATGATAGACCTAAATGTCAGAGCTAAGGTTGTAACAAAACTCTTCAAAGAAAACATGGGAGTAATGTCCAGCCAGTGTGGCTCAGAGGTTGAGTGTCAACTCAGGAGCCAAGCGGTCACCAGTTTGATTCCCGGTCAAGGCAATGCCCAGTTTGTGGGCTCGATCGCCAGCAGGGGCATGCGGGCAGCAGCCGATCAATGTTTCTATCTCATAGATGTTTCTATCTCTCTGACCCTCTCCCTTCTTCTCTCTGTAAAATCAATAAAAACATATTTTTTAAAAACACACAAAAAAATAGGAGTAATTTTTCATGATCTAAGATTAGGTGATGATTTCTTAAGTATGACACTAAAAACACAGCAACAAAAGAAAAAGATAAACTGGACTTCATAAAAATTAAAAACTTCTGTGCTTCAACGGATACTATCAAAAAAGTAAAAATCTACAGAATGGGAGAAAAACTTTAGTATTATTTTTTAAATTACTATTACTATTGCCATTACTATTATTTTATATTAAAAATAAAAAATATTTTAATGTTTTACCATTATTTTAGTAAATATCTTGTGGCTAATAAGGGACTGTATCCGGAATATATAAAGGACATGTACAACTCAACAATGAAAAGACAAATAACCCAATTTGAAAAGTGAGCAAAAGTGTTTTTTTTAATATATCTTTTTTTATTGATTTCAGAGAGGAAGGGAGCGAGAGAGAGATAGAAACATCAATGATGAAAGAGAATCACTGATCAGCTGCCTCCTGCACATCCCCCACTGGGGATTGAGCCCGCAACCTGGGCATATGCCCTTGACCGTAATCGAACCACAGACCCTTTAGTCTGAAGGCCGATGCTCTATCCACTGAGCCAAACCAGCCAGGGCTGGGCGAAAGATTTGAATAGACATTTTTTCAAAGATAAATGAATAGCCAATAAGCATATGAAAAGATGCTCAATATCATTAATAATTAGGGAAATGCAAATCAAAACCACAATGACATATACCTCTTCACATCAAGGATGGCTAAAATAAAAAAGACAGATAATAATAGATGTTGGTGAGGATGTGGAGATATTAGAATCCGCATTAATTGTTGATGGGAATATAAAACAGTGCAGCACTTTGGAAAACAGTTTGGCAGCTCCTCAAACGTTAAACATGGAGTTACCTATAACCCAGCAATTCCACTCCTAGGTACATGTCCGAGGGAAATGAAAACAGGTCCATACAAAAACCTGTATAAATTCCATAGCAGTGTTATTTATAATAGCCAAAAGGTGGAAACAACCCAAATGTCCATCAGCTGTAAAATGGCTAAACAAAATTTGGTATGCCTACATAATGAAATATATAAAAAGAATGAAGTATTGATTCATGCTACAAATGAATGAACCTGAAAAATATTATGCTAAGTGAAAGAAGCCAGTCACAAAAGACAACATATTGTATGAATTCATTTACATGAAATGTCCAGAATAGTCAAATCCAGAAAATATATTAGTGGTTGCCAGGGTCTGGGAAGAACTAGGAAGTAGGGGGAGTGGGGAATGACTATCAATGGATATATGATTTCTTTTTGGGATAATGAATATGGTCTAAAATTAGATAATGGTGATAGCTACACCTTCTGTGACTACACTAAAAACTGAATTGTATACTTTTAAAGGGTGCATTGTATGGTATGTAAATTATGTCAATAAAGCTGTTACTTTAAAAATTACATGGAGTGCCCTGGCTGGTGTGGCTCAGTTGGTTGGAGCCTCATCCTGTACCCAAGTTTCAGGTTCTATCCCCGGTCAGGGTTCATATGGAAGGCAACCGATTAATGTTTCTCTCTCACATCAATGTTTCTCTCTCCCTCTTCCTTCCTCTCTCTATAAAATCATTAAAAACGTACCAAAAATCTTTTTAATTACATGGAGTTAGTTACACCATCTTTTTAAAAGTTATTCTCTAATATTAGATTTTGCAAATTACTTGATATAAAGAAAGAAAGTCCAGGGTTTTAAAAAAATTCAACATTAAACATCGGTAAGAAAATGTTAGTTATAAATAAGTCGAGGTCCTAGTAAAATACCATACCTTGCCACACTGCTTGTAAGAAATTCCCTTTTGGTTACAGTACTCATAGATGAGGGATGCACCCTGTACACATAATTTAGCTTTTAGAGATTCCGGTTTATAATAAATTCCACTATGTATGACACCACTGTTATGTCCAGTCTGGTGAATAGCTGCCAAACAAGAGAAACAGGATAAGAGAAAATAAATGACTCATACAAAACCTAAGAAGTGGGGGAACAAACATATTTGAAGCTATCAGACCACATTATTTAAAATTCTTGCAGCCAGAGCACTGGTAAATTCCTCTAGCTGCCATCTTTGTTGACTACATATTTGAAGCTATCAGACCACATTATTTAAAATTCCTCTAGCCGCCATCTTTGTTGACCGTATCACATCCCTCCAGCCCACCTTTGATTTTAGTTACAACTTTGGTGCACAAACTCACCTCTCACTTCCAGCAAACCACTTCAAGGGACCATTATGGTTCTCTGCATTCTGCCCCAGGGCCTTGTCTAATGTGGGGAAAGAGAACTCAACATTCCTAGAGGCAACCCTCAACCAATAAGGACAGGAGCTGATGCTGGGAAATGTTTATGTAGCTCCTCAGAGGTCCCAGTAGAATCAAACTCACAACAACAACTTCAATAAGGTACCCTCATGTGGCTCTCCCTCCTTCCCTGTTTACTATCGCCACCCCCTCACTCCTGTCTCCTAGATAACCTCTCAAGTAAATCACCTATACCAGTGGTCAGCAAACTCATTAGTCAACAGAGCCAAATATCAACAGTACAATGATTGAAATTTCTTTTGAGAGCCAAATTTTTAAAACTTAAACTATATAGGTAGGTACATTGTTATTAACTTAATTAGGGTACTCCTAATGCTTAGGAAGAGCCACACTCAAGGGGCCAAAGAGCCGCATGTGGCTCGCGAGCCGCAGTTTGCCGACCACAGACCTATACCAAAGTCCTAGTCCCAGACTCTGCTTTATGGAGAACTCAAACTAGCCTACTAACATCGACACTCAGCATAACAGATGCAGATTTGACAAAATAAGCAGGGGTTCAGGATAAGCCTGAAGAGCAGCACTGATAACATACATCAACCATACATACCTAATTCTTTCTCCTTTTCCAGGACACCAATGGAAAGTGTTGGATGTCGTAGGATGAGTGCTCTGGCAGAGGCAAGCCCCACAATTCCGCCACCGATAACGACTACATCAAATGAGCTTCAAGAGAAAGTCACTTTTAAAGTAATGCACGTTTACAGTAGACCTCATCCAACTTCACATGCAACATTTTTGTCATCTATGGACAATTAATTAAACTATTGATTTATAATCATTAAAAGCAAATATTTGTTGGGTTTTGTGCTATTTGGCTTCATACTCATGAAAATACCCTTAAAAGTTACCTGCACTGCAGTTCAGCAATATAACCAGCTTTACCCTGCAGGCAGGGTGGCTAGTTGATCAATCTGCTCTAAATCCCCACAGTACACTGCCTGGGCCAGCTACATGTGTTAAGCATCACACTCTTCTCTACCATCTATTCTTTTAAAATTCAAGTGCAGTATTCTTGAGGATTAGCTAACACATTAAGCCTTCAACACCTTGGTATGCAACTATTTATAATTTTTTTCTGTTAAAAAGAAAGCAGCCAGTAGGTTCAGAACCACAATTTTAGCCACGACAAACCCTGATTATACAACCATTTTAAAAATTAGAAAGGCCTTGAAAGTCCTACTGCAATGAGGAGTGTAACAGATTCCCTTTAGCACTGACTTTATAGTAAACAAATCTGTTTTAGAGAAATATGGACACTCTTGCTTCTTCTCCCCCCCCCCCCCCCCCCCCCCGCATTTAAAACACACACACAATACCATTATTCTAACTAAAAATATTAACAAAAATGTTTTATATCATCAAATATTCACTATAAAACTTTTGGAATAAAACACAGGAAAAGAAAATCTTTGTGATGTAGGGCTAGGTGAAAGCTTACACCAAAAACATGGTCCATGAAAGAAAAAATTGATAAGCTGTACTTCATCAAAATTAAAAACTTTTGCTCTGCAAAAGATCCTGTTAAGAGGATAAGAATAAAACCAACAAATTGGGAGGAAATACTTGCAACCCATTTATCTGACAAAGTACTCTATTTAGAATATCTATTAAGAACTTTCAAAATAAGCCATTTAGAAAATGGGCAAAAGATATGAACAAACATATCATCAAAGAGGACAGATATACAGGTGGCAAATAAGCACATGAAAAGATGTTCAATTCCATTACTCATTAGGGAAATGCAAATTAAAACTACAACGACCTATCACTACACTCTTATCAAAATGTCTAAAATTAAAAAAAAATGATAATACCAAATGCTGGTGAGGATGAAGAAGAACTGAATCACTCACATATTACTGGTAGGAATATAAAATAAGACACTCCGAAAAAAGAATATGGCAGTTTCTTAAAAAACTACACTGTAGGTCTTAGCGCCTGCATTTACCCCAGAGAAAGGAAAAAATATGCTTATACAAAGACTGTACATAAATGTTTATAGAAGCTTTATCCATAGCCCAAAACTGGAAACAACCTAGATATCCTTCAAATGGTGAATGGTTTAAAAAAAAAAAAAAAGTGATACATCCATACCATGTAATGCTACTCAACAATTAAAGGGAATCACTATTCATATAGGTAACACTTAGATGGATCTCAAGGTGAAAAAAAGCCAATCTCAAAAGATTACATACTGTGTAATTCTACTTACAGAACATTCTCAAAGTGAAAAATTATAGAGCTGGGGAATAGATTAGTGGTTGCCACAGGTTAGGAAGTGGTTAGAAAGGTGTAGAGATGGGATGTGAATATAACACACGGGATATTTTTGTATTGACGGAATATTTGTTTGTGAATTGTGGTGGTAGTTACACAAAATAACACATAATTGCATAGAAACATACACACACACAAATGAGTGCATGTAAAACTGATGAAATCTGAACAAGGTTTATGGATTGAACCGATGTCAATTTCCTGGTATTGATATGGTACTATAGTTATGTAAGATGTTATCATTGGGGTAAATGAGAGTGCTGCTTTGTTGCAAACTTCTATAAATCCATAATTATTTCAAAATAAAAAGTATAAACAAAAACCTTCCCTAAGCCTACGTTTCTTCCCTTAAGAAAAGCTTCCCCAAATCCTATCCCATTCTAATCCCCCTCCAATACAATAACATACAGCAACCAGAGTAAATTTTTGAAACATCAGCATTCAATCACTCCCTCTTCCTAACAACCCTTTAAAAGCTTCCCAACGCTCTTAGAATAAAATTCGCGGTGCAATTAAAATAAAATAAAACCCCTGTTGTGAGGTAGCCCCTCTCCTGGTGTCCTTCCACACCATCTCTGACGCTAAGCTCCAGTCACACTCAACTTCTTAATTCTCGAAACTGCCAAGCTTTCCAGCTTCGCATAAACCATCATCTCTAAGGAAAGCAGAGAAAAACAGTGGTTTCCAATGTGACCTCCAAACTTTAAATCACAGGACACTGGATTCTGCAGGCTTCGATTAGCCACTGAGCTGCTTCTCAGTGAGGTAACTCTGCGCAGTGTCTGCCTGGAACTGATTGAAGACTGGATCCAGATCTTCCAAGCAGCACCCGAGATGCCAGCTAATAAACAGCCTTATTTGATTGCTTACAGTGGGCAAGGTCCTTGAACGCTCAAAACGATCACCTGCGGGCGAGCCTAGGTTCCCATTCACAACCGAACCTTCAAGGAGCTCAAGCAAACCCGCCCGGAGTGAAATAGGACGTGGAGGGGTTGTGTGCAAAGACAGGCGGTAGTAGCCCTCTACTCAGTACTCTCAATCTTCTCCTCCCGCCCACAAACACGACGAATAAATCCTGCAGGTGGCTCCTGAGACCCGAGCGTGGAGCCCGTGCTCCGCAGGATCTCGACCTTCTCTCACGCCGGGGGCAGGGGAGTAAGAAGCACCTCCCCTGGGCACAGGTCCAGCAAGAAGCACCTCGAAGATGCAGCGTAGGCGGCGGGGGCGGGCCGGTGGCC